ATGGGAGGTTAGATGAGACTTCCTTAAATTCAATATGAGACCTAGACTAGTCAAAGAGCTGCAGGGTTTGGAGGGTGCTCATCACCTGCTGTAGGCATCTGCTCATTGCTCACCAGTTGCAGAGGTGAGGAAAGACTGGGAGAGACTGGTGGGAGAGACTGTCCTCTCCTATCTGAAAGATTCAGCTCTGCTGCTGGGGCATGGAGGAGAGTTTGCTGAGCCTCATTAGAAGACCCTTGTCCTGCTCACTGTTACCATTCATTGTGGACTAAAGGTCTTTCCTAGTCAAACTGTAGAGTAAGGAAAAGGCACAACAAAATCAATTGATGCAAAAAAATTCTCTTTCCTGAGTGGCAAAATTATCAGAGGATATTTCAGATCTGAGTCTGTCAATAAAACCGTTCCTTGGCTATGTCTGTGCAAGTGAAATAAGCAGGGCAAGGATACCAGCTCTATCGTTTGATCATCCGTGCTGTTTAATTGCTAATACTCTCGCTGGCATAGTTTTGAGCCTGGTCCCAGACAATGCCTGGGCACAGCTGGGGGACAGCCACAGGCCAGGGACTGTTCTCAGGAGGCAGTTAGTGTTCTTTGTTTTGGCGAGGGAAGACAGTTTAATCATATAAACATAAGCAGTGCTGGACCACTTGTCCATAGGAATAGAGGAGGCGCATGCACATAGCTTGTAAGTTCAAATGAGGTCCACAGCTCTGGTTCTTCTTTGATGTCAGGGAATAGTGGCTATAAATTCTTTATCCTGTGAGAATCTCCTGCTAGAGCCGATTAAGCATCTATTTCCCCCCAGAGCAAGCTCTCACCAAGTGCCCCTAAAAAGAAAGTGGGTAGGTGGTCTTGCAGAGAACAGGCAGCTTAATTACTTAATCATGGGAGGCAGTGTGTAATGTTATTTTCTCATGGGCAGTGTACACATGAGAAAATTCAACACCAGAAGTAAGAAGGGAAGGAGAGGGAGAATGGGGTGGTCAGATGAAGTTTTGAAATCTCCCAAAGACAAGAAACTGGGAGCAGTCCAAAGTAAGCATATGAATTTGTGAGGAACTTAGTGTAGTAAACGTTGGTCTACCTGACCAGTGATTTTTTTTAGATTGATGATAAGAAAGGGGAGCCAAGCCCTGTTCCTTAACTGTGCTCCTGAGGATGTGCTCAGCCCTACAAAAATCTCTCTACTTCAGAAGACCAGGAGTCCTTGAGGTGTTTTGAGCAATGCAAAGTGAGATGACTTCCAGATGTTGTATGGGAGTCACAACCCAAGAACTCCTTTTCCTTTCCACTCTGAGGCAGAACAATAATGAAGAGAAGACTGAAAATGAGAGACTTGGGGTTCAAACCAAAACAAAGAGATGCGCCAAGAATTTATATTTTGAGCTTTTTATGAGCTCTACGTATAACACCTTTACAGGCTGAATATTTTCTGGGTATATGGTTTACTGGCTGACAAACACAGGAAAGCTGTCTCACAGCAGCATATGTCCCTTGGACAATGTAAAGCAGTTGGGTGTGTGTAGCAGCTAAATCCATAAAGGTGGAACAAACATTCAACAAAATATGAATTAAAAACCCCAAACAACTGAAGATGTATTATCTTGCCCCTATAAGGCCAGAAAAAAGGAAAATAAATGTAAGTGAAGAAAAATCACACCCCAAGTTTGAAAGGGTAACCCACAATGCAAGTGAGAAAATAATCCTGAGGAGTATGTTCTGATTTAGCTATAAAGAAAATTGGGAAGCTGGGTGTGCTCTGCTCTTTTTCATACCACACATGCAGTATTTCGAGAAGGGTGCGGGACTGTGCCCTCGGGCACCCACAGTATGTCTGTGCTTATCACTTCAACGACAACAGACTTTGTTCCTAAATGCAGTTATTGGGAATTCTATCATTCATTGAAATTACAGCAGGACTGAGTCTGGCTTGAAGCATTATTGTGTAGCCTTGAAAATGTTCTCTTAATAGAGTCAGAAATGGCCAAAAATCCAGGAAAACTTGTTAAGAATTAATACTGGAAAAAGCACTGATGTCACTTATACATGTGGCATGCTGGGTACCTCGAAGCGTATTTAGAGCAGGCAGTAAACAATGGCAAACCAGGGGAAGTAGGATTTTGCCTGCCTTTTGAAGACTGTTAGCTATATTTACTTTATATTGCGGTGTATGTGTATGCAGCACTCTGCCAAGCAAGATATACTTTTTATTGACCTACTGTGTTCCAATTTATTGCTAGTGACAGCTGTTGTCAATGTTCTGGAGAAAATAAATTGAGAATAAAGCAGAGAGACACTGATTGGTCAAAAAAATTAGTTGTTGTTTTAAATGAAATATAAGGGATTTAGTCTCTTAAAAACTGATTAAAATGAAGACTTTAAAGCCACGGCTGGATTACAGTAATTCAGAACTTCATGGATTATGAGATGAAATACTTCATAGGCATCATTTTGGACAAATGCTGCCATTAGGATTACTACATCATTTTAGACTACTGTATTGCATTTCTTCAAATCCTTTGCAGTGGTACTATATGAATTTGAAAGACATTGGCTGCCATGTTTAATTTGATCCTTCTAACATATAAGTCAAATTTGCTGGCATTTAACATTTGCAGCCAGTCTAATCCGCTACATTTCAGTGACTTCTCTGCACAGTAATTTCAGAATCAAGGTCTAGTATAGCTGGTATTCTGGTGGTGTTTCCTACATACAGGTTGTGGATGACAGTTGTAGTACATTAAAATCTCCCTCCTCTAGTTAGCACAACAGGCATTTAACTGTTTCTGGTTTTTAAGGGCAAATTAAGACCTGTTTGATTCTGTGTTTTATCTTATTTGCCTTTTTAGATAGTTTTTTTTTTTTTAATGGGCCACAAGTTGCTTGGGGACACTATACATGAACAGTTTAACTGTACCTCCCTCTGAAAAGGTGAAACAGTTTTATTGAAGATGCCTGCCAGAGAAATCACATGTATCACTAATGGAGAAAGCAAGTGATAAAAGCCTCTTGGATGATAGAGACAGTGAAAAAAGCAGTTTTCCTCTGACAGTATTCTAGGGGAAAAACAAAACAAGCCAGTCCCCCTATTTTTTTGTGAGCATCTTGAGGGAAAATCAGATGAAGATACAATAGTTCTGTTGTAGCTGTTTCTGACTGTTTTTTTCTAATCCAAACAGATAAGCACATCCTGCAATTTTGACTTTTATTAGGCACACTGATACCTGTCTGCCTTGTACATGTTTAAACTGCAGAAAAATCGAACAGTTGCAAGTAAATTATAGATGATAAAGTAATTTAAGAGACATGAAGAGTTACGTAGTACTTCTAAACAGTTTCAAATTTCCTCAATGGAGGAAAAAATCATTACGTTTATTCAACTTAGATCTCTTTATGACTGCAATGAATACATACAGAAATTAATCTCACCGACCTTCTTTTCTTGACATACAAAACAGTTAACATACTTTTGAAGTGTGTAGGAATTATTCACGCCTTATACTAGGAAGCCTGGATTCTCTTTATGAAAGGTTGCTGTCCCTCTAGTCCCTGAGACCAGGTAGTGTCAATAAACCTTACTACTACTACTATTACTATTATTATAAAATCCCAGCTCTGGTAGAAGGCAGTTCCTGAGGAAACAAGGCTGTTATCTCAGGGTTTTCTTTGGTATGAAAGAGTTAGAGATGTTGTGGGTGAAAGTCTGGGAGTACAAAAGTCGTGTCAAGGTCATATAGCTTACAAAGCTCCAGGCAGTCTGATGCATAGCTTGAAGAGAACCTCTTCTACACTAGCCAGAGAAAAAATATTTCCAGGCCAGAACATTACCAATCAAAAAGAATCTGGATTTTCTAGATACTAGGATTTCAACCTTCAGTTTCACATTTATATTTGATCTAAATAACGCATCCTAAATGACCTTGAGAAACAAAGAAGCAATTTTAATTTACCGAAAGGAAAGACAATAAGAAGCTTAAATTATTTTCAGAGAAGGAGAACAGGGGATGTTTGAAGAATGTAGTGGAGGTGGGGAGGGCCAGGTATCCCTCCAGGTACTCATGCTAACCACTGCTGCTTCCTACTTGCCCTGCTTTTGTGATACCTTTTTCTGAGCAGCAGTAGCAATGACAGTAGCAGCTGTCAAGGCTCAGGGATGCAAGGCTCCCATATATCCTCTCCCCTTGCCCCAAAGGGTGAACAAGAAGGGTGCTCCTCTCACCCCGCCTTGCTATGGTTCTGTATATTAATAGTCTGATGTGTGCATAATTAATGGCAGAGCCCCAAGGGTACTACTAAAGCCTTAATGGCCCTGACCTGCCTCATGTGGGGCCTCCTCTCTCTGCCCATGGGCTAAAGAAATCCATTGAAGCTCAGGTCTGGGCCTTCACTCCCCATCCAACTCATTTTAAGTATGCCTGTCTTCAGCCCTTTCACAGCCATGCTTGTGCCTGGCCATGGCCCCCATTGATCTGGAGCCTGACTTGAGGACTGTTTTCCTGGCTGGACCAGCCTTGTCACTACGCACGCCTGGCAGTCATTGGGCCGTGTCTGGCCCTTACCGGACCTGATCCTGACCTGTCTTCCTGGCCTGACCTCGGACCTGCCTCGTCACCGTGGACTCGCCTGAGGATCTCTTGACTGAACCGGACTCCACCCTTGGACCTGCCCTGATCACCTCGCTCAGGTGTTGTGGGACTGGACGGCTGGCTGGCATGGCCTCTGCCATCCCAGCTGTGTTCTGCCCCCCCAGCTGTGTTCTGCCCCTTGGCTCCTGGCTCCCCATCCTTTAGGCAGTCCTCACTGCTCCTTGATGATTAGAGGCTTAATTTGTGATGAAAAATTAAAGAGTTTATATAGTATGTCTCATTCATCTCTCAATGTACAGTATTACTATAATACTTCTGGACGTGTCTCAGTTCCTGTTGGTCAAATTGTATTTTTCTCTCTTTAAATGCAGAAAATGGCATTGTTTTCTTTATTTTAAAGTCATCTGTACTTACATATCATCAAAGATAAGCTTTGTCCTTCTGCAGTCCCTGGGTGTGCTGGACAGAGGTGACCAAGGCTCTGTTTGGGACTGTGGCTTATTGCAGAGAAGAACATTTTCTGAATTGATGTGAATTGCTTTCTAGACAACAAACAGCAGAGAAGACATTGAGGAATTGGCTACTAACTTCAAAAAAGCAACTAATAAACAACAGAGCGTCTTTGCATTGTGTTGTAAACTGGCAGTTAGTTTTCCTACTATTTCAGCAGGGAGTATGTACAACTGTCCTGTCACCGATAGCCACAAATTCACAGATATTGCTCAGAGCACTTTGTAAAGGGCTTGAGTTTCAATGTGATGTACAGAAGAAATTGAGCTGAACTATTAGTAACTATCAAAACACTCTGAAACACAGTAAGTGAAATTATTAAATAATAGATCTGTTGTGGTCATTTAGAGGATCAAGTTATATCTCTAGTTTTCAGCTTCCAAACTAGCATTGTACCTTGCCTCAGGGGAGCAAGGCCCACTTGTTTGGCTTGTTTCACGCTGCACTGCTGATGTGCCTGTGTGGTATGAATTTGTAGCCTGAGGTCCAGGTTTCTTTCTGCTCAGGGTCCCTGATCAGCTTGAACGATCACTGCTGATGTGCCACAGCGGAAGCACGTGTCTTTTGGCAGGGTCTCACACATTCCCTCAGCTGCAGCCGTGTTCTTCACGTGGCCTCATGAGCCCTTTGTCCTACCAAGTGACCTGTTGTGTGGGCTACTACACACTGGTGCAAGTGCAAAGCAGAGGGCCCCAGGTTGTTTTCGGCTGATAACCACTGCCAGAAAACACTGTTCTTCGTCAGGTGACAGACAGAAACGCAATAGGGAAATGGACAAAAAGCTCAAATGGATAAAAGCCACGCCCTGGCTTGCCATCTCTGACAGAAATTCAAAGGACAACTTGGGTGTGCCAGTTAGGTGCCAGATGGGAAGACAGGATAAAACAAAGCTAACTTTAACATTTATACTTGATGAGCTCT